ATAGAACTGTAGCTCATAAAGTTAAGCAAAATAGGCTAAACTTAGACAGACATTACAAGTTTTCTTGTCATACACAGAATTGTTGTGGGATAATCTTTTTTTGCACTGTAAAGATATGTCTCTGCTGGCCAGGCGTTGGTGGTGCACACCTTTAATCCCAGCACTTGGGAGGCAGAGCCAGGCGGATCTCTGTGAGTTCGAGGCCAGCCTGGGCTACCAAGTGAGCTCCAGGAAAGGCACAAAGCTACACAGAGAAACCCTTTCTCGAAAAACCAAAAAAAAAAAAAAATGTCTCTGCTGAAGGTGCCTTCTTATTGGTTTAATAAGTAGTTGAATGGCCAATAGCTAGGCAGGAAAGAATAAGTGGGACTTCTGGGGAGAGAGAGGAACTCCGGGAAGAAGAGAGGCGAGAGACACCATGGAGACACGAGGGAGGTTGGACATATAAAATAGAAGAGAGGTTAAAAAATGCATGGTAAAATGTAGATTAATAGAAGCAGGTTAATTGAGTTATAAAAACTAGTTGGGAACAAGCCTAAGTGAAAAGCCTAGCTTTCATAATTAATAATGTCTCTGTCATTACTTGGGGATTGGCGAGCCAAGAAAGTCCGGCTACACAAAACCTAGATATATGTAGGCCATGAGAGTAGAAAGATAACTGTGAGGAAAGGGAACAGTTATTAAGTCTTAAGAGAATATGGTGGTTTGAATAAGAATGTCTGCCCATAGGCTCACATTTGAATGCTGAGTCTACAGGGAGTGGCACTTTTTTTTCCCCCGAGACAGGGTTTCTCTGTGTAGCTTTGCGCCTTTCCTGGAACTCCCTTTGTAGCCCAGGCTGGCCTCGAACTCACAGAGATCCGCCTACCTCTGCCTCCTGAGTGCTGGGATTAAAGGCTTGTATCACCACCACCTGGCAGGGAGTGTAACTCTTTGATAGACCCTAAGAGGGTCCATGATCATCATGGTGGGGGGCACGGCACTGGAGCTACATGTTGATATGTGGGCAAGAGCAAAAGAGACCTCAAAGCCCACCGCCACAGTGACACTTCCTCCAAGACTTGCTTTGACAAGGTCATACCTCCTAATGGTGCCACTCCCTTTGGGAGCCATTTTACTTCAAACCACCACACTTGTATATTACCTTTAAAAATTAATGTTTAAACATGTCAGTGGAAAATAAAAAGCAACTTGACAATGCCACACCCCTCTTCATAGAGCTCTATCTAGCTCAAGGGCCTGGTCTTTTTCATGTATTTCATTCTCATGGGAAATCATCCTGCCTGCTACTCTACACCTTGAAGGATATATCTAATTAATCTTATCAATAAAATCCAGGAGTCAGATATTGGGGTAAAAACCTGAAAGATCAGAAAAGCAGGGGAGCAGCCACCAGTGACTTCCTACCTCTTCCATTCTTTCGACCAAAAAGGCCGAGATCCTGTCTCAGCCCTGCCTTACCACTTCTTGGCTCCTCTTTCTACAGTCCTCCAGACCTCTATGGTTAACTAGTGACTAGTTCTGCCCTCTGACGCCAAGCAAGCTTTATTTGTCAGAACACAAACAAATCACACAACAATGTAACCCTCGCTCTCTCTAACCTTCTACCAGTCAGAACCATGTTCAAATCTTCCCGATCCAGTTCGTTCAAGGACTTGCCCTCAACTTAGACGATTACTGATCAAATTGTTTCTTGGTTGCTCCAACAGCCACTTGTTTAGACATTTATCTGTATTGCCTGCTTTTCTCATGCTGTTACTGTAAGTTAAGCATATAAGCCTAAGAGGGTCCTGGGGCAGAGTACTGGGGCCAATATTGCTACAGACACCCCAAGTGATTAGCGGATACTCCATGAACAAGATAATACAATGTTATCACCTACTTCATAATATCCATTTATTTTACAGTACGATCTTTTTCTAAGTCTGAAATTTTTGTTCATTTATATTCACTGTCCAGTGTTAGGTGGCATACACACAATTTCTTTCAAGTAAATCATGTATATTGACCATATTTACCCCACACATGTTTTTATTTTGTTTTAGTTTTGATTTTTTGAGATAGGGTCTCACTCTGTAGCCCAGGCTGGCCTTGAGCTCATGGGCAATCCTGCCATCTCACTCCCCAAAGTGCTGTAAATTACAGGCATGAGCCATCACACCCAGAGGTTTACAAATATTTAACAAGCATAAACAAAGCAGAAGAGCACCTTTGTTCTTGCGGCATCTACATTTTAAAGGTAAGCTGTAGGCAGCAAATGAAATAAAGGAGTAAATGTACAGGATGTTTGGGGAAGAAAAATAATAGCAAAAAGAGTGAAGCAGGACGGAGTGATGGGTAGAGGAAGTGCGGATCGAATTCACCTCTGCCCCAGGTGACTCAGGAAGGCCCTGCTAGAACGTGACAAGAGAGCAGGCCTGAAGGTCACGAGGTAAGCAGTGCTGACATCTGGACAGCCAGGTAGGTCAAGAGAGCAGCATGCATAAAGTGGAATGAGTGAGGTCATCTAGGGACAAGGTTGGGCCGGCACTGCTGTGGTGACCTAGGCTTTTACACTTCCTGGGAGAAGCCATGATTTGGGTTACATTGTTAATGAACTGCTCTGACAATGTAGTTTAGGCTAGACTACAGAAGTGACAGGAACAGCAGCAGAGAAGACAAGACAGTGATGACGATGAGCTACAGGAGAGATGCTGTTCCACACACATCAAATCCTAGACCTTCCTTGCCTCTCAAGCTTCCTGGACTCTGAAGCCAGACCTACCCTCAATAGTAGGATGTTTGTAGGGATCCCCTAAGTGCCCAAGTCTGGCCAGAATTTGCTGATCTGAGTCATAAACCAGAATATTCCAAGAAAAGCCTGAAGGGAAGGGAGAGCAAGGCCTATGGCAGTCCTTAGGCGCATTGCTATAAGACACCATAGTGAGTGACGTGCTATCCACTCCTCTACCCTTTAAGCAATGCTTGGGATTTCCAGGTGAGGCAGCAAAAATTGTTCCTTTTAGGTTTGCAGATGAGGACGCTGTACCGGGGAACTTTAGTGGAAGTCTGGAGAGTGCTGTAGGGATCCTGACAGCCGGATTAAGTCACAGGAGAGATACTCAGGGGAGTGGAGGCTCAGCTGTGGAAACAATCAAAGCCAAGGGAATTCCAGGCAGGCCTGTGAAACTACTCCCAGGGCTTTAAAAAGCCCCAGTTCCCAGGGAATAAAAATGTTCAGGGCTGGGACTCAGGATCAGAGGTAAACCGCTTGCCCAGCATGTATTAGGACCTGGGTTCCATGCCCAGCATGTATTAGGACCTGGGTTCCATGCCCAGCATGTATTTATTAGGACCTGGGTTCCATGCCCAGCTGGTAAAAACTGATGAGAAGTCTAAACAAACAAATATTTCTAAGTCCTCCAGGAAACACACTCCATTCAGTGAGATGTTCCTCTCCCAGTCCCACAACCCAGAAAGTAGACCAACTAAATTTCATCTTAAGTACTTTAAAGGAAAGCTTTCTAAGAATGATAGTTATCTGGGGACAGCTATTCAGGGAGAAGGCACTTCTATTATCTATATTATACTTCTGAAATATTTTATTTAGAGTGAGACTATATTTTATTAATTAAATGTATCAATGTAAAAAATATGTTGTGTATGTGTGAGCATGATATGTGTGTGGGAGGCGGCACTCCAGCCACGGTACATGTGCTGAGATCAAAGAACTGCTCTGTGGAATTGGTTCTCTCCTTCCGCTTTTCCGTGGGTTCTAGGGGTCAGGCTCAGGTCATCACCCACTGAGCATCTCACTGGCTCACAGTATCATTTTTTAATTATTTTTTTATTATTTATTTTATTTTATTATTTAATTATTTAATTTATTTATTTGCTTATTCCTTTATTTATTTTGGGGGGCATGCATCATGGTGCATATATGGGGGTCAGAGAACAACTTTTGAGAGTTGGTTTTCTGCTTCGACCATGTGCACTGGGGATCGAACTAATGTCGGCAGGCTTGGCAGGAAGCACCTTTACTCACTGAGCCATCCACTGGCCCCGTCAACTATGAAGCATTAAAATAAAAAGCAAAGAAGACATCTACAAAAGAGATAATACACTGAGGGTCAGGCGACTGAAAAGAGCCCTTGGCTAAATATTTTTGAAAAATGAAGAGATGTAATAATAGCACTTTTATCTGCATTATCATATTCTTTCATAAACTGGATGTGGGAGGGTTTTATTGATTTTGTTGTTGCTGTTTGGTTTATTTGAGACATTGAGACAAGGTCTGATGTAGCCCAAGCTAGCCTAGAACTTCTTTTATGGGTAAAGATGACCTTAAACTCTTAACTGCTTCCATTTCTCCAGGGCTAGGATTACAGATGTACACCACGATACTGTTTTAATTTCTGTTTAGTATTACAAAAAGAATCTGCCTTCTTATTTAAGAAGGACAAATAAGTCACACACAAAAACCTCTAAAAAAAAAAAACTTCTAAAGAGCAATTAAAGTCTGTTGTGTGTATATTATTCAGGAAAGGGGAAATCAGCTCATGGCGTGCAATAAGCTAAGGACAGTCTTGTTCCTAAAATGGCCAGGCCACTTTCTGCAGGAGACTGTTATCTCTCTCCCACATCTCTGAGGCAGTGTTAAAAAGGGAAGTTAGCTCTCAGCTTCTCTTGTTATTGTATTCTGCCATGGTGATTCTCAGAGGAGCGGGCAGGACTCTGCACTGTGTACTCTGGGCTAGTCAGTGGACAGAAAGGCACGTACTTAAAGTACAGCAGTTGTTCGAACTTTGGATTCCTTTGCTTATTTAGTTTTCACAGAATCTAAATAAAACTTTGTCTCAACATATGGAACTATTCCCAGTTCTGTCCTAGTCTTATTTTGGACATACACATCCATGTATCAACTGTTTGTGTTAAGCAATTTCAAATAAAACATTTTCAATGAGAACACCGGGAAAGAACAAGTGTCACACGTAAGAAGACTTTTTAAAAGTTTTACTCACCACTTGGTTTAATTTCGCGGACATAATTACTAGGGAACCATCCTGTTCTCCCATTCAGTGTGCCTTCCCACCAGCCTCCTTCTTCAACTCGAGTGACGTAAATGATGTCCCCTTTACAGACTGACAATTCATCTTCATTAGTCTGCTTGAAGTTGAATCTTGCCTTTACTATCAACTGGTGACTTCCATTTTCCGTCATCTCCTAGAGAAACAAGAGTCACACCAGATTAAGTGACCATCTAACTGAGGCACGGCTAGAAATTATGTAGATTTAAGCCTAGTGAAGCGGCCTCCGCTGTGACCCCAGGGATTTGGGGAAATGACTCAGCAGTGAAGAATGCTGGCTGCTCTTACAGAGGAACTGGGTTCAGTTTGTAGCACCCACATGGCAGCGCACAACCATTTGCAACTCCAGTTCCAGAGAATTTGTTGCCCTTTTCTGTCCTTCTTGGGCACTTTTTTTTTTCCAGAGCTGAGGACTGACTGAACCATCTTGGGCACTTTTGTAAGTGGTACACAGACATACACGCAGGCAAAACACCTATACCCATAAAATTTATTTCAATTTAAAAAGAGTAAAACCCCAGGTCCATCTCAGTTATTTATTTTGTTTGTTTTTTTTTCCCCCAGAACAATGTCTCATATTAGCTCTGGCTGGCTTGGAATTCACTATGCAGTCTGGGCAGGACTCACAGCAATTGGCCTGCCTCTCAGCCTCCCAAGTGCTGGCATTACAGGCATATGATATCATGCCTAGCTTAGCCTCCGTTTTGAATTTAGGAGTCTCTGAATGGGTCTCAGGTTAACAGCCTGAGGTTAACAGCCCCTTCAAATCCATATGCAAGTGTCTGCAGGGCCAAGTTCTAGCCCGGGAGTCCATGGTGGAAGGAAAGAAGGAACGGACCCCTAAACATGGTTTCCTGATCTTCACATGCATCTGCATTCATATACAGAGAGCACACGCACACACAGCAACAGCAATAATCATAGAAAAATTTTCGATACAAACTGCATTTGTCAGAATGCCCATTTTCCAGGGAGTCACAGCTTTCGGTTCCCTTTTCTTTCACCAGCTTTCTAACGTGGTTGCTGAGCAAACTAATATACCATTCCATCCTGCTTCTCTCCAACATAAAATTTGGTCCAAATGTTAGCTAGTAACAGACCCTTATAAAAATCGCTCCCATCTCTCAGTCACTAACAAATCTCAACTAGGCTAGCCTTAAATAGCAAGTAAAGATCACATATAGCAGTTAGCCTGGGTAGGGGAAGGCACACATATGTGCTCCTAGCACTTCGGATTTGAAGGGAGGAACGTCAGGAGTTCAAGGTTATCCTCAGCTACACATTGAGTTCAAGGTCAGCCTGAGCTACATGAAACTGCCTCAAAACACTCACGATTATATAAATAAGAAGTTGTGGGTTTAACTTCCTAAAGTCACAGATCCTTATGAGAATCTGATAAGCTCAATGTAGTTTTCCTTGCTCATATTAGTTTATCCACACACACTTTTATATACAATTTAAGAAAGGCCAAAGAGTATGAAACCATAGCATTCATCAGCTTCTGCAAGGGATCTGCTGGGAGAGCTGTGCTGTTGGTAGAGTGCTCATCTAGAAGCCCTAGTTCAATCCTCACCATTGTATAAACCAAGTATGCTTGCATGAACTTGTAATCCTAGCACTTGGGGGTTTGAGGTAGGAGGATCTGAAGTTCAAGGTCATTCTACCTCCAAGACATAGCAAGTTCTATGCCAGGCTGGGTTATGTGAGAACCTGTCTCAAAAAGGAGGAGGAGGATGGAGTGAGCTCCAAAGGGATAAGCACCGCCTGTTTAGATGCTCTGGCAAAACAGGTCGTGGTGCCCTACAGTAAGCCAGTTGCTTTTGACAAGGATGAAAGAACAGAGAATGGCATTTCCTCCCAAATCAAAGCTTCTAAGACCAAATGCAAAAGCACCTAGGAGACCCAGTATATCATGGGCTGATATTTAAATGTGGGTCTTCTTTTGAGACACTGGTCTTGAGTGTACTATGTAGTCCAGGTTAACCTCAAACTGGTGATGCCTCTGCCTCAACTTCCACAGTGCTGGGAATGCAGGTTTGTTCTATCACATCCAGCTTGGGTCTTGCTCAATAGGAATTCAAAAAAAAAAAAAAGATCGCAATCAAGACCAGAACAACAAGAGTACTGATTGCTTGTGAGTGCCAGGTAATAACTTATTCTAATAAGCTCATGGGCTAGAGAAAGTAACAGCAAAGTGCCATCAGGAGCAGTCATAATGACTGGCATTTGCATAGCATTCTCAATTAAGTGACTAGCTGAATTCTAGTAAACAACAAAGCTGGGGCTTTGCCCCTGAGTTCCTGAGGCAGGGGCCCCACCTACCTGCTTTAGCTCAGCATTCCAGCCTGAACCGGTATTCATTCTGTACCTCTTTGCGCAGTGACACAACAAACAAGCAGGGTATCTACCTCACCACATCTGGAAATACATCTGGGCTGCTGATCTGATGTGACAGGTTTGAAAACAGAGGGGGTAGGAACCAGGGACTCTACGTACCACAGCCTTTGCCTGGCTCTGCTGCGCTGGAGCTGTGCTGGGAACTGCTGCCTGGGGGGTTGTCGGCGAGCCGTTGGGAGCGCTAAGAGAAGAGGACCGTCCACATGGTCTTTCTGATAGCTGATCTGTGAAAAGAGGAGGACAAGACACGGTAAAAGAACCACTCACAGCAGCAAACCACCTACAACCCGAGAAGCTCCTTCCCAGGACATTGTCAACGCCATCGGAGCAGCTCCTGGGGCTTCCGTCATTCTGAACAGGCTATGTGTTTCAGGTCCCGCCTCCCTTTTATCTTTTCAATGGCCAACTTTTTTCTTCTTAACCTTACTGGCCACTGCTGTCCAGTATAATGAAAAACAGCGACAGAACCACATTTTCTCCTAACCCATTTCCCCACAACTCTTCCCTCCTGAACCAGTTGCCACAGTATGCCCTGTTATCCAAGGCAGACCTATATCGGGTACCAAACAGCTGTTTGTGGCTCTTATTACTTTTGAAATATTTCAAATTTCTCTCTTTGTTTGCTGGCCCATAACTTAGGGGTTCTTTGCTTACATGTAAAAATACACACGGCACACATAACACAGTCTCCCTGGTGTGTTGGAGTGGGGTGCGGAATCAGAATGAGGGAGAGGGTGTATTTGAGACAGATGCAATCTTGATACTAGAATCGCTTTATAAAATCAAACACGGGAGCCTTCTCTTGCTTGATTCTTGGTGAAATTTGATCGGGCCAGAACTGAGCTGGGTGTTTTCAGTATGCTGAGCATGTATTAAAGGGAGAGGCTGGCTTCTTGACAAATTCAAATGAGGCTCCTTTTCCTCTCCACTTATTTTTAAAAGATATAAACTGCAAAAGTCTAAAGCCCAAACATTCCCTAGGCGACAGGCTCAGTATCCAAGTAATTTCCTTGAGGCTGTGGGTTTTAACTTTCACCTCCTTGTATTTTTATAAATATCTGTGGTAAGCGAAGAGACTGTAAAACTTGCTAGAAGAGTTTGGCAAAGGAACGTATAATTTGTGTGGCATAATGTTAGAATTATACCATCCTCCCTTCCCAGAACTGGATACTTGTCATGTGCGTTAAATATAGCTACTTGAATTAGCTGTACTCTGCTCTACGCCTCGCAATAGCTCAAAAACATTTTTTTTCCCAAATAGCAAAAGAACAACTTTGGAGAAGTATTTTTCCACATCTTGCTATTATCTACAGCTCTTTGGGGTAAAACTATAATTACTTGATGGCTTCCTAGATGCTCCATCCTACTTGGCACTTGATTACATTGTCTGCTCTTGTTCCCTAATTGTTTCACGTGGGTAAGTTGAGTCTCCATAAATAGATAGTAATTTTCTCAAGGGCAGGGCCGTATCTTCTACTTCCTCTATGGCACCTGGCAGTGCTGAGCACACAGTCTTTGGGCTCTTAAACCATTCAGCAGCAGGATTCATGTTTGACACAAGGGCTCTGGACAGTCATATGTGGGTAGATGGAATCGTAGATTAGTCATCTGTTTTCTAGTTGGCTAACTGTGGGCCTGGCATTCCTCATCTATAATGTAGACTTTGTCATCACCATATCCCCCAAAGGTGTTTCAAAGATTGAATGAGATCACTTGGAGCTGTTGAGACAGCCTAGACCCATAGAGAGGGCTCAAAGCATTTGAACTCTCAATGACTACTACTGATATAGTTAAGACATGATGTCACAGAAGAAAAGGGTTTCTAGTGTAGTTTTATCAATTTCCTCTTTACTCTGATTATACTTAATAACCTCCAATACAGTGGATAGGAAATGTTTAAATAAGCTACTCTTTTCATTCATGGGGAATCTGAGGTTTCATTCATAGTGCAAAGTTACTGAAAAGCTCTTTTTCATGACCAATGGAAAACCTAAAGAAAAAATATCTCTGGCAGAGAAAGGGAAGTGATGGCTGTATTTTGTAAACCTTATTTTTTTAAAGGAGGAACTGGTCTTTCCCTTTTTGTTTTCTGTCTTGTTATACTCAACTGGCAATCCAAAAACTTTGCAAGAAATCACTTTTTGGTTCTTATTGTTGTATTAAGGACATTAGAATGAGATAGGTAAGCTTGATAGGTATGTTTGTTCTTGTTATTCTGTAATAGGTACATTAAAGTTATTAAAAATTGGAGTACTTTATATTGGTTTGAATTTATTTGGGGAAGGGAAGAAATTTACACCATTTGAACAACTATAGCCATAGTTGGCTTCTAGAAACATGGATCATAAATCACCGACATGCCTTACCTTCTGTTGCTTTGTTGACAGCTAAAAGAGTACTCAGAACCTTGGAGAAATTGATCCCTGAATAAAGGTCATCAGGCTCAAATACCTATTAGAAAGGAAATTTGAAACTGTAAGACATTGTAAGCAATCAACTCAACAAACAAAACTATGAAAAGGCCCCTTCCTCCAGTACTCAAGAGGGAAAAAATATGTACAAGACAAAATGCAAACCTCTGCCTACCTTCTGGAGAAACTAGAGCAGTGGCTAAGCTGCCTAATGGCATGTGGCAGCCATCAATGAGTCAGAACAAGACAGTACTGGGATATGAAAGACAAGCCACAAAGGCAGCGCCCAGCAGGAAATCTACAGCACATACTCAGAGCCACTTTCCCGATCTGAACACACGAAGCTCGTCAGCCAGTTACAGGAAGCTCATGTGCACAGGTTCCAGTTACTGGCCAACCCCTCTGCGATGGCCCCAGAAGTCTACAAATAAGGAGGTGAGGCTTTCTGCTTTACCTTTTTTTTCACTGTCCTTACTAGTGGCACCGTCATAAGTCCCCATCTCTCCTCCCCTTCCTCCCTGGCGCTGCCCAACTGCTTAGGATCCCAATGCCACATTGCAGAACTTCTGTCCCAACCTGCCTTTTTCTCTGCAGCCTCACTTCCTGTTTCCTGCTGATTGATCTTGCCCTTCTCATGTGTGAACCGAGAGGTTCTGACTCTCTGTCTGCCTGAGTTTGTGAGTTCTTCCTGGCTTTGGGTGACTTTTCTAGCTACGACGTTAGGCCCTTCTGACACTTTGGCCAGGCATGATGGGTCACATCTGTAGTCACCACAGTTGGCAGGCTGAGGCAGGAGGATTGCCATGAATTCGAGGCCAGCCTGGGCCACAGAGTGAGCTCTAGGTCAACCTGGGACAGAGTGAGACCTGCCTAAAATGAAAAATCCACATTGCCAGTTTTTGCCAACGTTCTCATAGGCTACTGTTCCTACTGAAAATACCAGTTACCTATTGGTGTATTTTTGTGTATTTATTTATGTGTATGTGCTGGAGGACAACTTTTGGGAAGTTCTCTCCTACCATGTCCGTCCTAGTGTGTTAACTCTGGTTGTCAGGCAAGTACCTTTACCCACTGAGCCATTTCACCAGCCTCATTGTTTTAAATGCAATGTAAAATCTTGGTTTTAAAACACATCCCCTGTATTAAGATGGGTTGAGGCTTCTTATAATCTCTGACAGGTATATTGAGGCTAGTATCATCAAGTACAGGAACAATCTAAAGTAGTCAGTCAGTAGCATAGATGTAAGCCAGGCGTGATGACTCATACTAGCAATCCCAGCACTCAGTAAATTGAAGCAGGAGGATCACCAAAAGTTCAAGGCCAGCCTAATCTACATAGTAAGTATGACAACCTGAGTTCAGGCCCCAGAATCTACATGAAGTAAAACATCAATTCCTTAAGTTGTCCCCTGGCCTCTATAATCATACTGTGGAATGGGCATGGGAGCATGCACGTGCACACACACAGAAATAAATAAGAAACATAGATAGACTTGTAATAAAAGGGTGCCGTTAATATTTGTGAAGAGTTAAATGGTACTACATTCCAAATGTTTAAAATGCACTTTTCCAGGAATAAACTGACAGGAGTTCCATTTTAGTTTGCCAAAGCCAAAATAAACACAGTGCAATAGATGATGACAAGAGCATCCTTAACTGCAGAGGAGGCCAGAATTAGTCCATCTCCCCTAGAACTGACCCAGTGGGAAAGTGTTCATGACATCTATGCCCAAACAGCCACCAGGCAGAATCCCTTGTTTCCTTTGTGTTTAATGTGTTCCCTTTACAGTTTCACACGGACATCAACAGTACACTCTGCTCACTCTCACTCTCGCCCTCTCGTCTCCCTCCCACATTCCTATTATCCACCCCCACAAGTCTCTTCCCTATATTTATGTCTTTTTTTGCTTTGTGACCCACCAAGTCTAACTAAGGCTGTTTGTGAAGTTCATTTGTTTTCAGTCTGTAATTCCCAGTGGGACTTCGTGTGTGTGTGTGTGTGTGTGTGTGTGTGTGTGTGTCTGTTAGATAGATACAGAAAAAGTGGATGGTCTCTACAACAATAAACAAAATGAAATGCTAGGAGAATAGACACATGAGAGTAAAACCTGTGATGAAAATATCCCCTTTGTTTTCCTTGTATTCCTTCCCCAGGGGGATTACTTGCAAATGGCAACACTAGGATTCTTAAAATAGCCCGGTACTTGACTGAGTTTTAGAACATATGAACTGATCATAAAATAAAACATGCATCAACAAAAGTCACTGTTTAAATGAGGAAGTTGCCTGGACTGCACCCAGTTCCCTTTTGAGAAAACCCAAATATACTTGAGATTATCCACAGATGCTGTTCTTCTCACAGCTAGCCTGTTCTGAAGCAGTAGGAACTAAACAGGAAGACATTACAGGGGGCCTGTGGGGACTAGAAGGAAAACAAAGCACAGGGATTATTGTTTCCGAGCATTTGGGGGACCAGATACCCATACAGACAGCCTTCACTACACCATACATTCCTAAGCTCTAAACTGATTTTTTTTTAAAAGACAGGGCTGCATGTAGCACAGACTGGCCTTGAACATGCTTTGCAGTCAAGGAGGACCTTGAAATTTTGAGCCTACTGCTTCTACCTCTCAGGTGTTGGGGTGAGAGGTGTGTACCACCATGCCCTGTTTTATGATGGGCAAGTACTTGACCAATTGAGCTACATCCTCAGCCTCTCCAAATTGAGTATTGGAAGTTCTACTCTAGATCTTTCTTCTATGAACGTGACCTGGATCTACTAGAGAGAAGAGCATATCACTTCCATTCACTGTCAGCCATTTAGACCATACTGCAAAGGAGAAGTGTGGGATCATATTTACAAATGAGGATGTCCAGAAGGACACTGGTGCCCAACTGGAAGAAAGTAGGGAGAGTCCCTTAAGGTGGAGTGGGATAAGAAAAACAAGGAGAGCCGGGTGGCGGCAGCGGCGGCGGCGGCGGCAGCGGCGGCGGCAGTTAATGCCAGCACTTGGGGAGGCAGAGCCAGGTGGATCTCTGTGAGTTCGAGGCCAGCCTGGTCTACAGAGCGAGATCCAGGACAGGTTCCAAAAGCTACACTCAAAAGACCTGTCTCAAAAAAAGCAAGCAAGCAAGCAAACAAACAAACACAAAACAAACAAGAATGAAAAGAAAAGAAAAGAAAAGAAGAGAAGAGAAAAGAAAAGAAAAGAAAAGAAAAGAAAAGAAAAACAAGAAGTGGAATAAAAAGAATACCAGTTTTTGTACTTTTTCTTTGGTTTGCTTTTGAGGTAGAGCTGGCCTGGAACACTGTATGCAGTAACTTCTGTCTCTGCCCCACCCCAAGTATTGGTATTACAGGATTGAGCTACCACACCTTGCCCTAATGTCACAAAATGAGAATTAATAATCCCTCTTTCTATCTACAAACCCTGGGACCTGTGCAAAGGCAAAGTGTATAATTGTCCAAAGTGCTCTTCAAAGTTCAAGTCAAATCATGGCAAAGCTGTGATGATGTCATCAAGTAGGACTCTGGAAAACACTCACTAGCCTCTTCAGTGTCTGGTATATGATCAAGATTCTGATTAGCTGAACTTTCTTTATTCCTGCTTCAGTCCAGAAATAAGCCAGTTAGTTCATTTAGATCTTTGAAGGTCAGATAAACAGCAAGACTTGCACCCTCTGTTCATTTTACCACTTCTGGAAAAAAGAATTTGTATTATTGCTAGAGAGTCCCAAGGTAGCAAGCGCTCCAGCAATTGGGTGAATTTGGCTCAAGTTTATAAACAGCAGAAACTCCACTGTGGGTAAGCAATAATGAAGACAGGCACTGAAGCTCATTAGGGATTCTTCTCTGAATATTCACATACAGCTGGCCAAACTCCATTCCAACATCAGCAGATGAAACGAGACAAGACACTTAGTTGTTACACGTTTTCCAACATTTTTTTCCATTCTGGAAATCCACAATAACATCAAAACCTATTTCCCATCCTCTAAAAACCAGTTGTGAATTCTGAAATCTTGGGGATCTGCCAGTGTAAATTGTGCAGAAGTTACTATTTCTATGATTTTACAAATAGATCCTTTTGGCGTCACTCTCAGTTTCAACGTGTAAGGCAAAGAGGCACATTAGAAGACATTCCCTGTTGCATTCTGTATTACCTCACTAACCCTCTCCCCATTTTGGACAAGGTCTCATAGAGTCTAGGCCAGACCACAAACTCCCTATAGTCAAGAATTACCTTTCAAGTATTGATGTTTCTGCTTCCACCGCCAGAACACCGGGATTACAGGCATTGGCCACCACAGCAAGTTCAATACGGTGCTGCAGAAGGAACCCAGGGCTCCATGCATGCTAGGCAGACTCTCTACTCACTGAGCACATCTCCATTCCATCCCTCACTAATCACGTAAATATGATAACTGATTTGCTGGGTTCCTGCCATCTGCCTGGCATGATGCTTAGAGAGTAACTACATGGTGCAATGATTTGAGTGCTTATGTCACCCAAATTCATACATTGAAATGTAATCTTTGAGGTGATACTATTTGGAAGTGGGGACACTGGAAAGTTATTAGGTCATGAGCAAGCATGGATTAGAAAATAAAAGTGAGGCTGTGGCTCAGTGGTTAAGAGCACTGGCTGCTCTTCCAGAGGACCTGAGTCAATTTGTAGAACCCACATGGCAGCTCCCAACCATCTGTAACCAGGAAATATAACACCTTCTAGCCTCTGCTGGTATCAAGCACACACGTGTTGCAAAGACATACATGCAGGCAAAAACTCACACACATAAAATAAAAATAAATTTAAAAATATAAATGAATAATTAAATAAATAAACAAACAAATAAATAAAGGACCCCAAACAGCTGCTTTGCCCTTTCCACCATGTGAGGACACAGTGGTCGTGTACTCACCAGCTACTGGCTCTACAAGTAGCTTCATCCTGGACTCCCCAACCTCCACAACCATGAATAACAGAAACTATTTGTATTGTTATAAGATTATGATATTTTGATATTACCTGAGATTAAG